TACACATATATATATATACATATATATACATACACATATATATATATAGACTGCAACAAGTGGTTTCGTACTAACCGAGTCTGCGTGGCAGCCATCCCTTCACCGTGCGGGCACGCTCCACGTCCACGAGGACTCGGCGCCCGTCTATCTTCTTGCCGTCCGCACTCTTGTAGGCGGCTGCAACACAGAAATCGCCGGTTGGAAAGCGCCACCAGAGGGAGCCAACGCGTGCCAAACCTGCGTCGTCGGAATACCTACCGATGCCCTTGTGCGCACCAGGGGGCGCTGGCATACAAACCGTGCGACGAACGGTGAAATCGACAAATCGACGCATCGAATCGAGACGTCGCTGCGAATGTTGATGACATGCAACCATGGAGACCAGCCGTCTCCACGGCAACGTAACGCAATCGCCACACCAAACGCACGCCGGCGCCGTCTCTCTTGAGAGGGCGCCACTCGTCGCCGCGCCGACAACGGACACATCGCCGCGGACGGGCGACGAAGAAGCGAAGATCGACAAAAAACAGCGCGCACGTGTTCGCTTGTTTTTCGACGCTCTCGCCGGAGCTTCGTCGCGCGTCTCTCTTGGCGGGTGTTCCCCCGCTAATATCTGCCACGAGGCGGAGCCACCGGGTCGGCTGTCGCCGCGACGACGCGAAAGGTCGCGAAAATCTCGGCGAAATATTCGCAAGATTTTCGCGAGGAATTCGCCTCCCTCCCTGGCGGAAAATTCCCCCCCCCCCCCGTGGAGAATTCGTGGTTTCCCTTATCCTGTCCGTGCGCAGCATCACGCGATGAGCGAAAGATGCGGCAGTTAGCATCGTCTGCAGTTGCGATCTCCTGTGTGTTGCCGCGCGTCCCACCACCGGTCGCCTACCCTCGACACGGTATCTATAGGGTATCGACAGTACCTAACCAGTCATCACACCTTACTTAACTAACAGTGACACCAGCATGATGTATGCACTTGTTGACACTTCTTGTTGCCACCCTGCTAGCAGCTTCCAAGCTAAACCCCTCACAGTTCACACCTTCAATCAATACAATCAAACAATATAATCAAATATTGACAGTTCCTTGACAATTCAAACCTTGTGACTTCATTCCTTGACAATTGAAACCTTGACAGTTCATTCCTTGACAATTGAAACCTTGACAGTTCATTCCTTGACAATTCAAACCTTGACAATTCAAACCTTGACAATTTAAAACCGTGAGCACTCAAACCTCAACAGTTCAAACTGACAATTTAAATCTTGACTATACAAACGTGAAAAGTTCATTTTTTGACCGTTCAAACCTTGACAGTTGAAAACCGTGAGCATTCAAACCTTAGCAGTTCAAACTGTGACAATTCAAACGTTGACAGAGGATTCGCTCTATTCGAAGGCAACAAATCAACACCGTCGGCCACTCACTTTCTCTAATACTAATCTCCGCTAGGTCTAAGAACGGAGGAGGGTGGTGTGGTTGGGCAGTGGGAGACAGGCAGGAAGGAGAACAGCAGGAAATTGGTAACAGTCAGGGCAATTGCTCCGTTTCGCGTAGCTTCTAGTTCTACGAGTACGATACGACAGTGCTAAAAATATAAGCATCGACACACACAAACACATAACAATAACAACAACACACACACACATCTGTGCCCTATATACATCTGTATCCATATATCTATATACCTATATATATTTGCCTGGAAATATATATGTACGCATCACGCATGCATTCGAATTTCAACTACCGACAACTGGATGACGTCATGGGAATACCAATCGAGAGGTCAAAGGTCACCCGGCGAGGTCAATCGACACGAGGCGAGTCTCGAGTGTTCGTGGAGATCGTGGAGGAAGGTCGGGGGAGAAGCGGGGAGGAGGAAGAGGAGGAGGAAGGAGACTGCGGTGGGGGAAATCTTCTTCAGAGAGTCGGCCAAACGCACGACGCGAGATTCCCCCGCGCCGAAAAAAACAAAACGAAACACACACAGAACGCTTTCTCTTCCCTGTTACCTGCCCGTACATACAAACCCAAAGCCACCGAGAGCTTCTCTCGAAAGTTCACTTTCACTGGCAACAGATGGCGCCGTGCGCGTGCTTCAGGTAGTCCCGGCATACTTACCTGGCACTTACCTGGCACGAGTTAGTGCAACGTTTTTTACGTGTTTTTTTCTCTCTCAAAAACAACGATAATTTTATCGATTTTCCCCCCATTTCACTTCGCATGCATTCGCATATTCGTGACCATATTTCTACTCTGGCACTGTTTTTTTCCGCAAGGTTTTATGATCATCTTTGTATGCCCCTTCTCTGTAAAAACTAGCCAAACTTGACTTGCCAGAGGGAACTGGTGACACCGACGGAGAGACATAGCAAAGACCCTCTCTGCGGGACTTAACGGCCAAGGTGGAAAGACTTAGTAGTCTCTTATTAGAGGGACATAGAAGCCTAGGCGAAGACTTAGTGACCATTATCACATGGATTTAGCAGCCCAGGTGGAGGGACTTAGTGGTTCCTTATCACATGGACTTAGCAGCTCAAATGGAGGGACTCAGTAGCTCCTTATTACAGGGACTTTAAGGTCCAAGTTGAAAGACTTATCTGCCCAGGTGGAAAGACTGCGTGGCCCCCTTTCATAAGGACTCCATGGTCAAGTGAAATGCTCAATGAAATTAATGACTTAGTGGAAAGACTTAGCAACCCCGTAACTTACTGACCCTGGCAGAACAACGTGGCACCCATGGAGGAGGAACTTATGGACTACTATCATCGCCTGACGAGCAGTCAGCCTTCATCACTACCTACCTGTCTGTCTCTCATCGTCTCATCTTCTACTGCTGCCTTCCCCTTTTTTTTAACCCTCATTTAACGTTTTTAACCCTACTTTAACATTTTTAAGCCTACTTTAACCCTCCTTCTTCAACCCTTTTTAACTCTCCTTCTTCAACCCTTTTAAAGCCTCCTTTAACCCTCCTTCAACCTTTTTTAACCCTCCTTCAACCCTTTTTAACCCTCCTTCAACCCTTTTTAACCAACAGCATTCGTAGTTATAATCATAGCATAATATTTAAGCACGATGATATAATCAGTTGAAACGCGCGCGTCGGACAATCAACTACACTGACTGCAAACCACCATGTGGTTGCGGCGCCCACCAGCCA